TCGCTCGACGAAACGTAACGAGGATATTTACAATTCTCGCACGTAACTTTTAATTTAAAACCTAGGCCTTCCTTTTTGCAAGACTGGAATGATACATTTCCTGCACAGACACCACACTTCACTAATGTAGCAAGAGCAGTAAACACTAACATAAAATCAACGATTCTGTAGTGTTTTGAAAGATCTTCTTCAATAGACTTATTTGTACTTATTTTTCTGGACGAAGTGCTTTTAGCTTCAACTGTATCGTTCTTACGTTTGTGCGGTGGTACAATTTTTTTGGGATCACTCAACCGTGAGCTACTCCTTTTTCTTTCTTCGCTGCTAACTTTTCTCGGCATTTTCACTCACAAACGTCTAACACGTTAAAACGCTAACGAAAAACTGTCAAAATATTCGAAAACTGACACAAAACAAGCTAACGTACGTACAGAACTGCTCCGTAGAACGCGTCGGTCTCGACTGATCTTTAGTACACTGAATATGTATACAAGGCCTGTTGTAAATATGTAGCCGTGCAGCTGCCGCGCAGATATACAAAATCGGAATGTAGCGACTCAGAGCGGCCGTTGATTTCAATCGCTATATCTTCCTAAGTTTTGCTCCAAATGCTCTAAAAATTTAGTACAACATTCTTCAGATGCTGTACATTCATCAAATGAAATAAAAAAAAAAATGAAAAAAATAGTTTACAAGCAGTACCTCCCCGTTAAGTAGGAGTGCTTGTTTAACCGTTTGAGTGCCAAGGAGCGATTTTGCGCTTCTTCTATGTCGCTCGAACAGCGCCAGCGTTCTAGGCTGCGAAGCCAATAACCGCGACACGCTCGGTTTCCGTCGATGCGCGACTTTACGGTTACCATTCCATTTTAGGTAAAAGTAAAGGAATGAGACAGCTGGTAAAAGAACGAATTTTAATTTCAGTTGAACATTACCGCTTACCGTATAGAGCAGAAAACAGCGCTATTGCGTCGCTTGTCACTTTTGGAGAGGAAATAAGACAAGCGAAAAAGCGCTCCTTGGCACTTTTGGACGGGAAAACAGCAAAGACACGTGGCACTCAAACGGTTAATGGATATTACAAAAGAATGTCACCTGAAAGGTAGTTCACCCCCTTGAGGGGATGCAACATTGCTGAACAATATTGTGTTGTCACCGTCCTTATACAGAATACGTTTATGCAAAGTTTCGTCGAAATCCCTCCATGCTCTTACGAAAAATATTTAAAAAACCGATTTTTCGCTAAACTTTGGGGGGTTGTTTCACCCCTTAATTGTGGACCATTACAGATATAAAAAAACACGTGTCTCTTAGATTTTTGTGTTCTTCAACATATATGAAACTCAATAAGATCGGAGGCGGACACTTGTAAATGTTCCCTTGTAAGAAATCTTATACGTCTTTTTATGATCTTCGAGGGTCTGTTTCACCCCCTTAATATGAAAACGGGTCAAAATAAATATACATGTATTTCTTATTTTTTGATACTCTAGAACATTTCCAAGAATGAAAACAATCGGAGGCGGACACCTGAAAAACATTCCTTGTCAGAGTATCCGCGACTATGTTATCCTTCCCAGTGCAGTGCTTGACAGTCAAGTCATAGTCTTGGATCGACAGAATCTATCTCGCGTATCTGGCAATTGCGAACTTGCAGGTTAACAAAAAATTTAGGGACTTATGGTCCGTGATGACGTTTATCGGTACTGCGAGCATGTATCATGTAAATTTTTGGAGTGCCCGAATTATTACAAGTTACTCCTTCTCAGTCGTAAAATATCTTAGTTCTAGTTCTTTGATTATCCGACTTGCGAAGGCAACGACTTGTTCTTCCATTTCCTTGTCGATCTGTCACAGAATCCCACTTATTGCGTTAGTCACTAGTATCGGTGCGGAGGAGGTATCCCTTTTTTGGGTCCGGATGATGCAGTATCACAGTTTCTTGGAATAGTGCCTTGACTCGTTCAAAAGCTTCGTCGTGAATGTCCTCCCACTTCTACTTCGTTCCTTTTTTTAACAAGTCCAAGAGAGGACTTGTTTCATGCGCCTGTCGATTAGTAAACTTCGTGTAAAAGTTTACTAATCCCAAAAATCCTCTTATTTGCTTAAGAATTTTCGGTTTCGGAAATTGTTGAATTGCTTGGAATTGACAAATTACTCGTAGAAAGTACGTTCCGAAATAAGAGAACGGCTTTTCTGGAGAAAGGTTTTGAGGGTAATACATTTTCCTGAGCACATTGCTTCGACGAATACTCTTCGCGAAGCAACAGCGATTTTGATGTCAAGCAGCTGTATCCCGGTAACGTCGAGCGTAAGAGTCACAAGGTACCGGGGTTGAATAAAAATGTCATACTTCACGTAAAGAAATAAAGACATTGTTGACAAGCAATTCATTAGAAAACAGATATATATTCTACTACACAACAAAAGAACTTGATATTTATAAGTTTTGTGTGTTTTCGTGATGTATGTAAGTAATACTTATTGCATCGAATAGAAAATTCTACAAGGGCCCAGATAAGTACGGTCACGTAGCTGGCTGTGTCTGCAATTCGTCCACTACGCATTTGCTACAGCGCATGATGTCACGACGTACAACTAGCTCTCGTGGCGGAAATTCGCTGAAGTTTTATGCGAGGAAATGTCTTCGTTGACAGCTTCGCGTGTTCGCCTCCAAAAATGTCGAGTTCGGTTATTCAACGGCGGTTCCCAGTGATATGGTGTGCAGCTGACGAGGGTACAACTTTCCCTACGTGGTTCGTTTTTTATTTTCATTAGTGGTTCCATGCAACGGTGCGATAAGCGTTGAACGAATAATGATACAGGCCATGTTGGTCCGCCATGGTAGATTCGTGGACTGTCAGTACGGATTTTTACTTATTATTTACATATTTTTCTAATAAATAATTGACAAATCTAGCTCCGCAGGGAAAGTTACATTTTCGGATGGCTGTGATTTCATCCATTCGAGCTAATCAAAGTACATTATGTACACTGGGAGACATCAATGCCCTCCCATTCTGCACAGGTGATGCCCTATCTACAGGAGAGGCATTCGTGTCCGCCATTGTACATCATGTACAAACATTTTTGGGTGCGAAGTTTCCCCCACTTCCAGCTCTCGTAGGTGTAAAAGCGCTCACAGGACCTGATTCCGCGAACGTGCGAGGGCATCGAAGCAAAATTAACCGTTTAACGGCGTTCATCACCAAAGTGGGGACGATGACTTCGACCGCTAGATGGCATTAGCATCGAATTCGGTGGAAGGTGACTAATGCTCTTTCTCACTCGGGTTAAGAGAGATGAAATGTCTTATGGGTGGAGCTTAGATGACGCGGCAACAATGTGTGCGTACATCTTGCACATATACTACACAACTAAAAGCATCTTCGCCACGGCCTATCTTCGGCCTGACACATTGTGCACGGCCAGTACGTAACTCTGAACTGGCTTGAGTTTAAAATTGCTGGAATTTTGGCCGAAGCAAATAATACATTAAGCTGTAAATAAAAATATTAGTAACAATTACCACTGTATAAATTTGTCGCTTTAAATATAATTACGTTTATACAATTATTCTAAAGCAGCTGTTTGCAAGCTACTGGCAATGTCTGACAGAAACTTCCCAGATCTCACCGCGTGGAGGTCGCTGCATCGAGATCCAAAGTCAAAGTTGACAGTTCAAATGTACGAAAACGGTTCGTTAAATAAAAGTAATGTAAAATATATTTTTAAATTCATTCGTGATTTATTAAATTCATGCAGATGTGTAGTGTCCGTTTAAAATTACAAAATATTTTTACANTTTATATTTAGCACGAGTGTCTAATGAAGTAAATCGGAAAAAAAATATGTGGTAATAATGGCACAAGTGGAAGACTGCATTTGCCGAGTTAGCTGAAGTGTCAAACTCGGTAAAGTGGCGGCCCGTCGAAGGTAGCTACGGCTGGCCACGGCGAGCGAACAACTTAGCGCAATTTCGTCTAAACACTTAGCATGTGTGCGTTATGTGCATGAGTCGGAACATGGATGCACGCACACTCGGAATCGATGCTCCGCCCGCAATGTTTTCGGTAGTGACCGCAAAAAAAGGCCGGGGCACCACCGCGCTGCCCCGTGATAGCCTCCGTTTGCCCGTAAATCACGGAAAAAGGTGCTTTACGGAGACAACGATTCTGAACGTATTTCTGAACCGATCGAGTTCAACGTGTGCTTGTTTTAAATATAAAATGTTGACTTGTGTTTATATGGGAGCGATTTTCGAAAAAGCTATTCCTTTCTAGTTAAAAGTGCTTACAAATTTTGTTGTTGAATTTTTTATATGAAAATGAACACTTATCGAAAATCGCTCCCATATAAACACACGTCAACATTTTATCTTTACAGCGAGCACTCGTTGAACCCGATCGTTTCAGAAATACGTTCAGAATCGTTGTTCCTGTGAGACTCTGCAAACCGCTGGAGTGGTGAGCGCTCTTAAGTGTTACCGATCTTCCGTGTTTTCTAATCGACAATTGCCAAGCGGTGCGATAGTACTTATTGTATTCCGTATAAAAAAATACCGAGCAGTGTAATTGCGCTGTTCTGTTCATTTGCGTTATGCACTATGCACGGTATGACTATTCGGTAACCGTTATAGACACCCATCGACAAAAACCAATCGTGTAGTTATTGTCGCCTTCACAGCCTACGCCATTGGCTCCTGGACACAGGACAAAAGAAAAGCGATCGCGCTGCTTGGTACTTAAACGGTTGACATTCGCATCTTGACAGGAACTCTACCTTCAATGAAATCGTTACCACCATCTGATGACCTCTTCTGTAGCATGCAACTTCTGTTAGATAAATCTTTTTCATTCATCCATAGTTTCAAAAATATTGTTGTTGCTAATAGTCACTGGACCGCTCGGTATTGATCAACATATTAAATTTATACAAATTTTATTCAACACTCGACCGAAATACTAAATTGCATTTTTATTTTTCATCCACAAAATGTATTAATGAAGAATATTTTACAGATTGATCAGTTGGCTTCAAGGAAAGGTCTTGTAATAGCTGGATATTATTTTGCGAATGAAAACATCAATGACACAAGGTAAGTCCTTTTTTCAAATTCGTAATTTAAAATGTGTGGACTGTGTATTCTGAAATGTGACTGACATTCCTAAATGGTCCCTATCAAACAATATGTTTGATGGAGAAGCACTAAAGAGTATCTGATATTTTAGGGTTTACATAATTAACACTTATATAAGGTTCTGCAATTGAAATCAGTTTTTGAAAATAAATGAAAAGTATAATAATTATTTATTTACATCAACTAGCGGCAAAATATGATTTACGCCTTAAATACTTACGTTAATAATACAATAGATCAGAAGTTCCCATTTACAATAGGCGACTACTAATTTTGTTTTTGAAACAAATTATCTATATACGGGGTGTCGCCCCTTGTTACGTCCCGTCCTTCTTGATGGTAAAAAAGCGGAAAAGGTTGAAGAGATTACAGGGATATGGGAAAGAAAGGGAAGTTAAGGTTCGGGATACCGTTCGCGATACCGATGGTCCTGGGACCAGTTCGTCTAATCTATTTGGACTAAATTTACTTGGGATTTTGGTTTAGGATTTGACAAGTTGAGAAAATTGCCAATCGAACTGTATGAACGACTGACGATTTGGATTTCGAGTGGACCAATTCGATATGGGCCAAACGGGTTATGAGAAATTGGACTACTAATGTGGAAAAAAGGGCCAAACGGGTTATGAGAAATTGGACTACTAATGTGGAAAAAAGAAAATAATAAATGGTTTGAATTCCTTAATAAAGCGTTTATTACGGATAGAGTAAAACAATAACGATATGATTAATAATGGTTTAAAAAGAAAGATATTAGTGTTATTAAAGGAAAAAATCGTGTGAGGTTAATTAAATTACAAGTATTACACAAGCTTAGTTAGAGAAATAAGATGTAGACGTACCTGGATTCGATATAATTCACCAATAGAAGTGGACTCGTCTGAAGTGAGCTGGAACTGGGAACGAACTGAACTGAACTCGCGCTCTTGAGACATAAGCCCTTTTAAAGGGGTTCGTCTTTCCTTTCAGTGACCTAATCGATGAAGTGTGATTTCAAAACGTCTAAACATCGATATCTTTAGTTTGATAATCGATTGGTTTGTCATGCTGTCTAAATTGATATTAGTACGCCGTCTTCCGTTTTCCCTTTACAGTTTATAAGGTCTTAGCCTAAATACGCGAGACGCTCGTGAATCAGCTCCAACGAGTGACAATAAAACTTATTAGTACCTAAAGCTAGTGATAATTTATCGGGTGGGTTACGTGGGACGTAACACCCTCCCATAAACCTTGCGAACAAGAAATACATGACGATAATCTCTGTTTAATTCTGAAAAAAAAATATATCCAACACAAACTTGAGTCCAAATTGTAATTTCAAAACTGCAGTAGTGTAATACATTTAGTGCCGAAACAAATGACGAGTACGCTGTCGTAAACGGACTGTAGGGCGTATACGTCCCACAAGGCACGGAACGTGTTAATGTCGAGTAATGAACAAGCAGAATTAGTCGCAGAACACAAACATCTCATTACAGGTATCTTGATGAACTGAGGTTCAAATTTTCATTTCAAATACATTGTTTTTTTTTATTTTGAAGGGTTACTCCCAATTGTAAAAGCAAAAAAGGATGTTCTACCGTTTTTTTTAAATTGGCGCATACTTTTTTGGGAAAGTTTTTTTATTCAATAAAGCAGTCCTACTAGAAAACTTAGTAAAAGTTTCTGCAAAACTATTGATTTATTACACAGTTATGGTCGATGACAGAGAATTTCTTTTTCAAAAGGTGTTTGGAGATGACCATTGCAACTCGGAAGTAGGTCACTGATAATTAAAACATTGGAATGATTTAGTTAATAATATAGTTTCTCTAGTTTTTAATCAAAGCATTTGGAAAAATATTCATTTGGGACAAAATGGTGTACGTTAAAAGTGAAGTAACCTAGTTTCGTTAAAACAAGCTGCTCGTTCTTTAGCCACAAAATAAAAACTGCGGCTTAAAGAAATCCTTTGATTAAAGAGTACATTTTTATATGCAAAATAAACCTATACAATTTTAAAATGTATAAACATATACAAAATAAGCCTATACAATTTTAAAAACGGTTCGTAGAAAAGTTTTTAAGGTGAAGTGAAACCCCTCCCAAATCAGACGTTTCGTCTGACACTTTTTTAAGGGTGGAACTGTAGGTAACTCTGACACATGATTCGTGATCACCCAAGAATTGTCCTGACACTTTCAACATTTGGATTTTCGAAAAACAATTTTTTGACTTAGCCTAGACTAGAGCCAAAATAGCGTCGAGCTTTCATATTTTTGTCGATATACAATTATTGAAGTTCCGGATATGAGAAACGAAAGTGTCAAGACAGTTGTATAGCAATTTAGAACACTAGTAATCGAGAAATTCGCATTTGAACGGGATAAAGACAAAAAAGTGTCTTATGCGCTTCAGTACTAAAATGAAGGTAACACAAGGTCTTGGAGAGAACATTTAGTTGACCCTATAATCACAGATGGCGCAGAATGTGACTCCGCAGTCCATTAGGACATAAAAAATCATGAATCCATGGGATTTACGGAGTAGTACTTCGATTTCTTGATAATTATTGAACGTAAACGACATATGGAGTATGTCATTTAGTACAATACCCAATATAATTCAACATAGTTGTCAACACAAATACAAATGTTGGTAACGTAAGTATTTTGTAGATTTCATTTTACCGACGTCGATTAAATTCCTCGACGCATTTCACTTCACCTTAAATAAGCAGACAGCAATGTAGGCCGTTATTTCAACTGTAATTGAGCTACTCGTAGAGAGGAGATTTCTCCCCTTTGAAAGCAGTTCCATGGCGCCTGTGGAACGTGCCTCACTTTTGAATAATGTCGTGAAACATCCCTCACTCACCTCTACTGTTAAAATCTTTATAAATCGGCTTTATTGCGGTCAGAACATGTGATAGTGGTTTATAATCATGTTGAAATGAGGCAAACTCAGTGGCTGCTTCTTCACGCTGATAGGCAAACCATGATTCTGTGCTAACCGGACAATTCTCGTCATGCGATTTCTTATTTATTGAACTATAATGATAATACGTTGCATATCATCTTTCATATTTTTAACTGAGTCAGAGTTTCGCGCCTCTATATGTACATTTGGCACGAAATTCTACCGAGTTTCTTCGGGTGATATGAAAGTGTCATACATATACATACCAAAAAGTCAAAATATGTATAAAACTTTTTTCCAAACTGGGTGCACCGAATCATCTGAAATTTCATCACGATATTGTCGAGGCCCTAAGGGAAAATGCGATGCTTGTGAATTTTCATTTGTCGTTTAAATTTCATTCAACAATAAGATTTAGAGCCTAGAGTTGAGCTACTGCTGATTTAGGCCTACGCTTTGTCTCGAAAGATTAGAGAATTTAAGAACAAGGGGACTCTCTTTATCTCTCGCTCATCGGTAGAAAGATTACCTATTGTTAGAATATCCCTGACATACGTATGGGTCATACAAATAATAGAATAAACGAAGAACTACAAAATATAATATTTAAAGTAATAATAATGCTTATTGATATCTAATTCGAGGAATAGGTTACGTAAGACGTAACACCTTCTGAAGCAGTAGGTCAAATTGCACACTTTCGGGATGCGCGCTATTCCACTCAGCATAAGTTAGTCCTTGTTCAGACCTATGAGCGACATGTGGTGTTCTCCGGTATTTCGTTATTATTTGTCGGCTAACGACTGATGATGCGTGTCGGGTAAACCCAAAAATAAATCGATCTGTTCTTCAATAATTGTGTTTTTTTTTGTGTCCTTTTCAAATGAATGTGATAAAATTCAAGAATTTCACAAACAAATGACGCACGTTTTTTGTTAATTACAAGTATTGAATGTAAACATCGACATGGGTATTGGAACGATTGTATTGGGACTGTTGGATGATTAATCGTGTTTTGTGATTGGTGAACTTTAAACTGATGTAGTTTTGAAATTACAGTTCGAATTCAAAATTGCGTTGGATATTTTTTCAGAATTGAACAGAGATTATCGTCAGGTATTTCTTGTTCGGGCGGTCTAGAACACTGTGTGTGTACACACACGTTTAATCAAGGTAAAATAACTTGAAAATGATAATGTATTCAGTACAATTAGAACGTTTAGTAGATATTAAAATAAAACAGTAAATGTGGGGTTTAGGGGACCGATCTCTGACGACATTGACCTTAACATATGTCGGCATAGTCACCCTCCTGCGTGACCTCTACGGGGTTTTAGACATCGCTTGTTTGTTAAAGTGTTATTAACAAAATAATTTTGATGAGTTGAACGTACGTCTTCGACAGTGGCGGTACATTTAAAGACTCAGAACCTAGTATATACCTCTTGTATATGTTACAGTGAATGACCGAAATCTGGAGAATGTCGACTTTCACCGGTGAATGTCAACATTCACATAGTCGCTTCGTGTATGTCCGAAATATTTGCTAAATACCCTTATTTCTGACTTACACCGGTAAATGTTGACATTCACCGGTGTGTGATTGTCGACACACACTGGAGAGGGTCCGAATGTCCAACAATGTAATGAAATATTCGATCTTTCACCGACGTATTTGGTATCTGTTGACATTCACCGGTGAAAGTCGACATTCTCCAATTTCGGTCATTTACGGTAACATATACATATATTCCTACACTTACTATTCTGTTATCACTTCTCTTGTTGAGATTCTGCCATTACTTATATATACTTATAGTCAATTTGTCATGTAATGAGGCAGTTACGCGCGTGATTCCAGACAAAGAGTTCTATGCAAATTCAAAATGCGTTTGCATGATAATAGAATGAAGCGAAGATAATTAAATATCATTAAGTGAATTAGAATCTGAGGTATTATAGTTAAGAGATGGCCGGCCTAACGGCGGCCGTATTCTAACTACTAGTCTAACCCAAACCCAAATCAACTCAAATTAATTTGGTCTGAAAATGTTGACAATATTAAGGTATATTTATCTTTCTATACCGTATTTCTAATATTTGGAATGATTAATTTGAGTTAATGGGGGTTTAGGTTAGGTCAATAGTCAGAATGCGGCCGCCGTGAGGCGGCCGGTTACCATTTACTTGCAGTAATGCACAAGTCTTTAGATGTATATTCAGCAATAAAAAACAAACAAACACTCAATAGGCGACGGCTAAAAACTTGTGGAGGTTACTCAGGAAGGTGACCTTGACAATATATGTCAAGGTCAAGGTCATCAGAGTTGGATTTCCTTAACCCCACATTTACCAAATAAAATTATCCTTTTTGTGTTCAGTCCATTTTTATTTCTGCGACTTTCTATGATTCGGTAACCTTTGTGTGTTTTGCATATCAGTGTTTTTAATATTATTCTTCTATAAAAATATCAACCCCTTAACTTGTGCGCTCGAGTTAATTCCAGCGCGCTAAACAGGCCAAACTGTGCACACTCGAGATAATTCGAGCGACGTTGTATTTTATGCTACTATAATTTTTCACACTCTAATATAATCGAGAATTTAATTTTTTTGCCAAGACAATGTTCTAGTGTTTTTTACATAAAAAATTGATTTTTTTGCCGTTTTTTTGTCCAAAAAATCTGTGCGTTGAGGGGTTAATTTTGACATCTTGAATTATTTTAGTATTTTTCAATACCTTGGATTTAGTATGGGCTCCTTAAGTTATTTTCTTCTTTTTTTAATCATTTCACTTCCGTTGTCAGTGCTTAAGTCGGAAGGTACAAATTTTTAATCATGGTATACCAATAAATAATGAACAGAATCTATTTAAAGGTTTTTTAATTATTAAAATTCGATAATTATGAATTCAGGCAAAATTTGATAGATTTTATGAATATGTATATATTAGTATTCGAATCTTTAAGTTTCAAGGTGCATTGTTTATTTACTAATAACTATAATTTTCTGAATTCGTGGATAACAGCCCTTTTACATTTTGACGTTTCTAATTATCAACCAATTGATTACAGGCAGCGACTTTGTAGTACATTATTATAATTAACTCTGTAACTCAATTTTTTTTCTTAAACCGAAAGACTGATATAACATGAAATTTGCAAATATTACCTCTTTGATATTAACTATTTGTTTGTAACTTTACAATTTATGTACATTTTTATAAATTAAAATTTTTACAGTTCATCAACAAATTCTTTGATTACAAGGCGTGCTACATTAAATTTTCAAAGTAACATGGCATTATAGAGGGTTAATTAATTAAATGAATGACAATACATTCTGTTTTATTACATTTTTATGTTATTATATTTGTAATTACAGTATAGATAAGCCAGCTCATCGGATAGCTGACAAAATAGCAGAAAACTTTTCAGGTGCCTTACTTGTCGCGGTAAGATACATAATAATAGTTGCAAGTAATTACTTTGGTATATTGCTCACTATACATTGTGTCATATTTTCAGCTTGATAACAAAGAACTCTCATACAGCATGAAATCTAATCCTTTGAGGGTTTCCCAACACGTGGATGGAAAGTGGGAAGTCAAAGACAAATCAAAGTTTGTATACCATAAATGTTTTATGAAAGGACAGTGCCTAAATTCTGATTCAAGGATATATGCAACTTATTTAAAGAGTTCGATGAAATTATATGTAAACGTTTATACAAAGATAAATAATGCTTCCAGAAGATCCTCATAGATTTCCAGTTAAGGTATTACTTCTCTAAATGCACTTTTCTTATAATTTTTTTCAGACTTTTTCAGTGTATTGTTTAGATTTTTATCGACAAAACAAGCCCATTCGGAACAAAATCGTCTATCTAGATCGGAAGATTATCGAATTTGAATATTCCTTATTTTGTAGCATGTCTCTATATGTAACACGTACATAATGGGACGCTGCGTTACATTTTCAATTTTTACCGTGAAACAACTCTTACCATTTTTTTTTTTTTCAAAAATCGTGACAATATGAAGGAACATGTGTTAGTTAATGTTTAAAAAAAAATGGAATTTTTTGTCCATCAGGAAACGGAGATAGGGCTAACAGAAAAATTCCGAATTTTTTTGCACGTCGCAGACAGTGGGGCGGGCGGCTCAAATGTGGCAATCATGTTCGCGGCAGTACATGTAACCGCCTACGTATTTGACAAAATTTTTCACTGTATAGACTACTGATACCCCAAACAACGCTGCTGCATCTCTGCGCGGCAACCTACGCTTGTGTGCGAGTCTATCCGTTCACGGAATACATGATGCGTAGACGCCCAAGATGTACAGTCATGGACAAAGTTCGCTTTGAGGTATAGGGGGAACTCGGGAACTCAATGGTCGATATATCCCCGAACGCGTCAACTTTTGAGTCTGATTAATAGGGAAGTAATACCTTAACGTTTTTGCAAACGTTTTATCGGCATTTTGTATTTTTCTTGCGGTTTAAAGGAAGCATGAAATGTCGAACCCGAATAAAATGTTTAAATATATCAAAAATATTCAGTCGAAAATTTGCAGATAATTCAATACTCGTATTAAAATGCTTGTATTATGTTCCCATTAAAAGGTAGATAGATGTGTGCAGTATACATATGATCTGTGATAAGATGGAATCGAATAAGTATGCAAAACTAAACGAGGATTTCATTTATACTGAAAAAATAATTAGTATTAGATAAAGAAATGGCAATTAAATAGAATTCGAAAAAGTACTTTGTAAGGTTATATTTGCATATTGTTTAAATTGGCACTAACTAGTCATGATGCTCCATTTCAGTTAGTCAGTATATTATGTTTTGTTTAAAATTGGTCAACCTCCTTTCAATTCGTAAGCAATGGATAATTTATATAATTAATTTTTACATTTGATTACAGCCTTTCCTATGAGGGTGGGACTTACGTATTGGATTTAGCATGCTGGCTATTAAAATCAGAGAAACAACGCTCTCTCATCGATTTTGACAATCATCTCGACAATGTAGCATTAGATTTCCAAAATCAGAAACTCAACGAGATCATTGAAAGCACAAAGGAAAGCTAAATTGCATTCTTCACAGATTTCCAGACATATTGAAATGTTTATTTATACTGTAAGCAAAAGCGTACCGAACTTCTACCTTTCAACGTGTTCTTTAGAAACTGTAAATGTATATATTACCTAAGACTTACAAATAGGTATTTGTCGTATTTAAGGAAAATCATATCTGCGTATCTTTCGAGTGACCGTTTTGTACAGAATTAAACAGTGAATTGCGTTTTATTAAATAGCGATTGTTCTCACCTCAAATACATATGCCACCCTAAAAATTAAACGGTAAAGAAAAAATAAAATTTTATCTAATCGTTTATTATGTATTAAATTTTATTAGCCTTATGTCAATGCTAGAAAATTACGAGTATTCACCGCACGAGTTTCGTATGTCAAAGGCATAAGATCTTTCATGCATTTTTATTCACCTGAATACTTTATATCGTACATAAGACAATGTAATGGACGTGAAAATTCCATTCATAATATATTGTGCACCCTGTGTTGTGTACACTTGCGGACATGAATGTCTTCCTGTCATACATTGACAGCACAGTATGGAAGTTCGGGAAGGCATTCATGTTCGCCAGTGTACGTGTACATATGACACGGTAAATCCAACCTCGTACATTTAACAATAAAATTTCTCGAATTCTCAGAATTTTAGATTCATCGTCGAAAACAACTTTTCTTTGTATTTTTTATTACTTTACTACGATCGTAACCATTTATTTAACGTCGAATCGAGTGACGTGCGTTGCTTTACTCCCGCTAGTAAGTTCAACTTACTATTAAAAACCCTTGGATGTGTTAAGTTTCGAATTTTAAACGGTCAAACCCTAATAAACCCATAAAAAGGTTAAGTCCCAGGCTCCCAATTGTTTAATTATCTACTGGTACTTGGAGTTTTCTGTGCCGAGGCATCTCTTGTCGATCTTGGATGACTCCATGTGTAAGTCACCTGGAATACTCTATGGCGCTGTAAAGGACGGCGCCGATAATTTGGCACGACCAACTGTGTTAACCAATCGGCATTGAAGAAATCCCTCCCCCACCATTTTTTTCAGGTTTTTTCTGAAGGAAACTCAATTATTTTTAAAAATTCAACACTACACCTCCTACATTATTTTTTGATTCGAGAATACTGATTTTATTAACCGTTACACTCTGCAGGGGAGGCTCAACGGACGCTACTTTCAAGACTATTGCGATTCTGGAAGAGCGTCGCTGACCATTCAAATTTTAACAAGAAATTACAACCTTGAAGAGTAACGTTGCTCAAATTTTCATATCTTAAACCAACCGTAAAAGACAGTAGATAATAGATACCTTGTCAAAAGATTTTTAATTAATAGAAGGTAATAAAGGTGGATTCAGACGTGAGAAGTTTTACTCGCACGAACAGAATGCGTGAACGAAGACTCACATGTCAACATACGTTTAATGTGCGTGTGCTGTGATGCGATTTATCTCCGTCTGAAGTGCGCTCGCTTTCATCGGTCCTCTCGCCCGTGTCCCTCTCCGTTCTCCGACCGTCCGATGGGCACCAATTACTTTTCGGTTCCTCGGAATTAATAAATCGGTCTATTCTTACTCAAAAGGAGAACGGAACACTTAACCCTCATCTCTAACGCTTTATTACTAAACGGAGAGGAGGGCGGCAACAAAGAAACTCGACGACATGTCCCGCGCTGCTCAGATGGTAGGTTATGGAGACGCAGGGTCGGAATCACTACTAAACTAACGAGGTGAGTAACAAGGCGTACATGTTTGTGAAAACAAAAGAAAGTGGTGTACTTTACCTTTTTCCTCGGTACAAAGTCCTCCAAATACACGGGAATACAGCGAATAAAGGGATCCCTTTATGGGCCGAAGGGCGGCTAGATTCAAACCTCTTAGGGAGGCGTACGCGTCCGAAACCCCGATGGAAGGACCATTGTCCCCACAAGATTGTTGTCCGGAAGTTAATTGGAGCGGACGAGAGCGTATCATTTACTATACGGCTTGGACCACTCGGGGCCTCGAACGGCATGTTGACCTCGGCCCGCTTCCGACACGAACCCTCTACAGACTGCCTTCTTGAATTTCAGATTCGTCGACTCTACCCAATTTTCCGTGATAGAATCTTCCCCCTCGGCCTGCTCCGCGGGTCGTGGAAGGGTGATGTTTTGCAGTTCGCACTTCTTGAAGGTCGCGGAGGCCATCACTGGATCACTGGAGAGTGGTAGGGGGGCTCTCAAGGTCGGGGAATCCGCCGACGGCCGGGGTAGTGGAAGACTGCCCGTATCCTATGCCACGGCTTCATCGGCGGTAGCTGTGGCATGTTCACCACGTGAGGCTTGCCATCCGAACCCCTCGGCACCTCCGGGCCTCACCAAGTCGATCCTCTCCATTCAGGGTGCTGGTGGTTGCTAGTCCTCTGGCCCTCGTCAACGAACGTCTCCGGACAGATCGCACTACCCATTTAGACTCTAAATTCGGTCCATGTATCGCATTATAAGTGAGTGTCCGCCCAGCGATCTCACAAAGTAACCCCTGTGGGACGAAGGGTCTTATCTCCGAAATATATTGGGACTCGGAACCTCCACTTCGACCCATTCACGTTCCTCCACGTCACGCTATCCTGTAGGCTCTGAGTGATACCCCAGAACTAGGGCTGTACCTAACCTGCCATACTCGCGTCGCCTAGGGTCGGCGGAAATCCAAATTCGTCCTCTGTGCTGTGGTAGCCCTGAGACATCCGTCAGTGCACGTTCGAAGTATGCCCGAACTCTATCCGTTAATTGTCAGTACATGTAATCATTCTTGCTCGGATTGATGCTGAAGGTGTAGGCATTTGTCGAAACTACTGAATCATGAAACTCGGCAGAGTTTCAGCCAAATACAGTTTTAAATCAAGATAATTGAACGGTCGGAGTTAAGCGGAACTCTGTAACATGGCCGAAACGACGCAGAGATACATTTGTGACCGGGAATCCGTCCGAGATCAAAGAGGTGATCCGTGTGCGCTGAATCGCCGTGTATTCGTTTCCTGATTTATACGGTCGCCAAGTGTTTTCACCTCCAAAGTACAAGGTTGTACTTCAGGTTACTGTTCCTAAAATAAAGAATCTCTCCTCTGCTCCTCCTTATCTTCCCTTTAGTAATCAGTAATTTCTTTCCGTATATCCCCGGCGTTCAACGTCGCAGTCGCCGCGCAGTCAGATGAGTCTATGCCCACTGAATGCTTTTATAATATTCCATCGATTTATTCCACGAAGTAAATCGAGTTCGTCCAACAATCTGAGTCGAATTTATCAGTCCGAAGGTGTCAAAATAATCGTATAGGTTTATCCTTGTTTGGGATAAATCGTATCCATTAAAAAACGGCCTAGGTGACTTAAAAAATCCATATTTATTGCTCTTCTACTTCACAATTCTTTCTGCGTCCTCCCTAGGGCATCAGCCGGTACGCCCGCTTCACGCTTACAATTCAATACAACGAAGTGAACCCGTATTGGTCGCGACGCGTTGGTTCGAGATACGACGCGTGGCTTCTGGCTTTGCCGATGCAAAACTGAAACTGGCCTCCGTGCATCTCCCTTTATAGTTGGAGCGAGGACCCAGGACGGTTAAAGATTACTATATCTTTAGATTAATAAATTATCGTGATATTACCTATCGGCCGATACGCGGTTGCCCTGTCGCTCGCGGTCCGTTGTTGTTCGCATGTATTTTACCAACCAAAATCCTGGGAAACAGATCTCCTCGAATAAATAAAACTTATTAACTGTCTTAACAATAATGAGCATCTGTTTGGAATGCTTCAGGTACCGTTCTCGCTAGCCCTTCATTAACTAATATGACGCGATTAGCGCGGCTGACGACGATACGATCTCCGGCCAGGAATGCCTTTGTTTCCGATATCGTTATGAAATAAAGTAAATAAACTCACCCTATCAGTGGTATCCACCGCCTGAAACTGATAACCTGCGACGCACGGTCCATTGGAAAATGTAAATAAATGAATATTTTAATGGGCCAATCTCGGCTGAACACATTCTAACCTTCAAGGCAATGAAATAACAGTTACAGTTGCATCAGCCCGTGTTTCTTAGCTCCTAGTAATTTCAGGGTCCGTTGCGAGGCGTGATTCTCATACATTGTAAGAATGAATTCTGATTCAGAAGAACGAATAATACGAGGAATATTAATAAAGTTAAGAATGATCTCCCACTGGAGATAATTTCTCCCACATAGCGTGGAACGGGGATTTTATCCTAGGGCTTGTTGACGCTTGTAACATTATCATAGTTCAGCTCTTCGGATGCCTCCGCGGACGCAGTGTAACAAAATATTATAATTAGATTAATATTGGCGAGCAGGAATTTTCTCGTCTGTTCCTGGATGTTGCTACAAGATGTTTAGCTGCCGTATTTTCGGCACCACTCGTTCTCTATTTAATCGAAAATATTTCATTGATTTCTCAGTTCGGGTTTTACCTATGTGTCTCTGAGTTTTCCTTGAGTCATTCATAATGAATCTTAGATGATCTTTTGTTTGGAATAATCGCCGCCTGTGCCTAGAGGGCCGCGTTATTATCCGCTAATCTGGATCTGAATTCAGAGTGCCATAGTGACTCCCGAGATGGCACGATTCGCTATTTCCGAAGAGAAACCCACGTATTGAAGCGGAACGGTACCGCGTCCGGGGTTCATGTTTTCCCAAATCCGCGTCTAGTCGCGTTTACGTTGCCTAATTATGTGTACTATATCGATCCTGCAGACGTCGCGCTCACGCTCGCATCCTGCGGTTGTTTTAATAAATCCGAACTCTCCTATTTCCGATGATAAAATGCTGGGTCATATTTATACGGGTCATGGATTAACTAATTACGTAAGGGGCATTTTAAAAAAAGTATTTTTTCCGTGATCGTTTACCTATGTATCCCGTTTATATGTGATGTTTTTACGGTAGATACTCGTATTTTAAAAGAAAAGGTTCCAAGTTTTAAGATTTAAGCTAACATATTTAATTTTTGAAACAGAATAAACCGACATATCTAAATTAACAGTTCCGACACAAATAAACTTACATCTTAAAAAAAAAGATAAAATTTGAACAGAAAACCAGTTTCTTGCAATCAAATGCGGCATCCCGAACGTTTACGCCCTAAATCTAGATTAACAAGTGAAAACGCGAGGTTTCAACAAGGAAAATTCGGTGACTGAAAACAAACTTGAACGAACAACAAATT